AGATTATGCTGTGTAGCCTTGAGAGTTATATAATACTTACAAAGTATTCTTTGAATGATAACCTTGCTTAAAATTAAAAAATTTAATAAGCGTAAAGTGAAATGTGAATTTTCAAAATTTCCTACTCTTAAGCGCAGCAGGCATAAACATCAACGACATATTGGAGACCACCATCAGTTCTGGAGGACGAAATTACACATGTTCAACCGTGTTCGTTTGGAAATGAGGATATTGACCTAAAAGAACCGAAAAATATAACTCATAGGCATCAGGTATGGCACGTCTAGCAAATTGGTTAGAGGTGCTCTGCGGTGTGCAAGTGGCCTTCGGTTCGATCCCGCGCTCCGTGTTCAACAAGCCTTCCATTTCTTCGGGATTAAAAAATCGGTTCCGTATTTGTGAGGAAGGACACTATCACTGAATAGAGACATCGGTAGGTCAGCACCCGAATAGAATAAAAGGGCTAGTACCTTGTAGGCAAAATTAGTAGACTCTATCGATTTCTATTTCACCTAATAAAGTTGACTACGAGCTCAAATATTTTAATACCTTCCTGTGTTATTGAGCTGACACGATGTTGGTATGAAATATTTACTCGGCTAACGTTTCAACGTCTTCGTCTTCTTCAGAACCGCATTGAACCGAGTCAATGATCGACAGAATGATCATTCGATCTGGCTCGGTGCCACAACGAACACCCACATCGTGAGGACGACCACCTGTGGATCATCGAATTGGATCAATGCGGTTCTGAAGAAGACGAAGATGTCGAAATATCAGCCGCCGAATAAATATTTCATACCAACCTCGTATCAGCTAAATAACGCAAGCAGGTATTGATTATTTGTGCCGAGGTTAAATGAAAATCGCTTTTTAGAGATGAAATATCCTAGTTTAAAATTTAAAAAAGCCATACATTCCAAACCACAAGCGATGAAATAAGTCCGAAAGAAAAAATACTGTTTAAGCAACATTGATAAACTTAGTTTTAAAAACCGAGCAAATAAGGATTGAAGGTGAGGAACCTAGTGGAATGAAAGTAGTCGCAAAGGTATTTATCCTTATTTTGCATGCCGTACTTTCTCTGCAGTGTAACCCATTTATGTAAAGAAGAACAGTGAGGGTCACTTTTTGAATAGCCAAAATTTATGTAGATGTTGCAAGATTGTGTTTAACACCTCGCAATGTTTCTGCGTATCACGAAGGGCCGATTGAAGTACTCGTCATGGAAATTCCTGATAACCTCTTATCAGGTTCTAAGGCAAGACGAAGCTGAGAACGGTCTGCATCGGCAAAGAACACAATATGAGGACGAGGCCGCTCGCCTGAAACTGACAGAATCGACTGCCGACATAGACGCCTTGACACGAGTTGAATTCCGTTCAAACGTGGTTGAAAGCAGTTATATACCTCAAATTTGAATAGTATTTGGACTAGAAACGACTAGAATGAAAAGAAGCTCCTCAAGAAAATACAAGTCTTCACAAAGATGAAATTCTGACTCTTCCGAAGTTCACAAAAGTTTTCCTTCGTTTCATCTTTCTTGTTTTGGCTCGTCTTTCGAACAGCGAAGCGATCCAAAAAACGGGATTTCGTCCAACAAAATGCGATAATGTCTCCAAATCTATCGGCTATGTGTTTGGCTGTGGCGCCTTCGCATCAAAAAATTTCAAGGAATTGAATTCTTAACCAATTTTAAGCTGAAATCCCGTCCTAGGACATACAGTTTCAGCTTACCGAGTACATGTGTCATTGAAAAGTGTTCATTCACGGTCAAAAATTGGGCATTGCTACACGCGACAGCAAGTGAAAATTAAGAGCAGAACTGTCCTCATGAAAAAAGTCTGGCCACCAAATCACTTAAAATAGCCCTCAATGAAAGAAAAATGCAAAACAAAAACATTTTTCTTTGTAATCTGGGTGGAGAAAAATAAAGCATACCGTTAGAACAATAGCTAATAGTTCGACGTTCTCGTCTTCCTCAGAGTCGATAAAACGAGTTGGTGGACCACAGTCGCTCGTACACTCGATGTAGTGTCTTCATCAACTCATCGAATCGGATCTTCTTCAGTGGAGCACCGCCCGAATTAGGCAACCTCACCTTACGATGCTTTCTTATAAAGGACGGTTGTTGTTGATTTCACCGTCCGGTGTACATGGACTCGAATCATCGACATTGAGGAAGAACAAAGACGTCCAAGCATTGGCCGAATAAAATTGTTTATCAACCTCGTGCTAGCTTATCGATGAAGGAATGGATGTTGATTAGTGATACCGAGGTTAAAAAATAGTTGGTTTTTGAAAAGAAATATTAATCGGACGAAGTTAATGAAACCAAAACACGCTCTTATGAAAGGCAAAGAACATGCGAGTATATATCTTTTATGTTGAGAAATAAAATCGTTCTATGTCTTCGAAAATTGTTTATAAAAGAACTACTAGTGATTAATTGGTCGATTCTCCACTACAGTAAACCACAACTCTGTGACAAAGTTGGGTATGAAGTGTTTATGTATGGCCATCCACAGCCACACGAAGAAGTGTGACTGCATGAACTCGACATAAACTCTGACCCTTTCATAGCTAAAAGATTTTTGGGAAAACTGATGCAGATCGCTGCAAAATTCTTTTTCGATGCTTACATTTATAAATACTCTATGTTTTATCAATCATAAAATACATCGTAAAAACTAGAAAGCAAAACCACCCCCTTCTTAACTGCAATTAGTATTCGTCATCACCTTCCCGGTTTGTGAATTGGTTGAGGAATTTTATTCGAAGTTAGCATCTACAGTTGACGGTTAGTACTGTGTTATTCCCATAGGTTGTTTGCTTCATTGAGCTTTGTAGAAAATGGTAAGTAGAAGAACAGCCAAGCTACCAACCATTAGTGAAGGTAATTTTCCAGCTGTCAGTTCAGAACGTTAAAAAGACCTTGTTGCAACACGCTGTAACTACAAACAGAGTAAATTGAAATTTTAACCCATAAAGATATACTTGACGCCTTCTGGAAGGGTCATTACATGAGAGGAGGAACAAAGAAGAAAAAAGAAGTAAAGAAAACATGGATGGCAAAGCGAAAATAATCGCTAAAGAATAAAAGTCCGTTTCGAAAAAGTAACGAGAAGTATAAACACCTGATTTCACTGATGTAATGTAATTGTGATAAAGCTGGTCCCCTATTCGTAGAAAATATGACTTTAATCCCACACTTAAGTCCTGCATTTCTGCGCCGTCATTCCGTATTCTCCGGCGAAACCACCATCCGGTCAATCAACAGTAACGAGGTAACTGGTATTTCGCTTTTTTGGATGATTTCAATCATTTCCCTCACACATGCTCACATCCCTGCCGACTGGTAGTCAGTCCAGTGTTGCTCCTCATCTCTCCCATCCAGTACTCCCTATGCTAGAAGTACTTCAGCTCCTCGCTCGCCCACTCGCTGCCTCCCTCTGCCGGCGAAGATACCGGACCAATGTACACCGCACCCTTCCCAGATTCTCAGACAGCTCGACATGTCATTCCCGTCACGTGACTCAAACGATATGGTGTTACATATAGTGTGTATAGTATGAAAACAGTCCATATCATGAATTATTTGATATAAACTATGTAACTTCCTCACATGATGTTTCTCGCTCTTTTTGCTCCTCACTTTTTTAAAATCATCCACAAACGGCGCTCTTCCCGGAGATTTTAGGATCGTTTTCCAACTTTTTTCCCCGATTTTTCTGACGAAGAAAAATAGCGAAATCCACTCCCCACGATGTGCCTTCCCAGTAAACAGTTTAAATTGCAATGTATTAAATATATGGTCGGAAAAAAAATTACTATCGAAAAAATACTGTCACTTTCTTATTTCGTAATAGTAATCAATTTAAGAGAAATAAGTTTCGGTAGAGATAGAAGTCTCGATAAACATGACAACAATCAATATGCAATGTTTCCGAGAAATGGAACTGAAATAATCTCCACATATCAATTGATCGATCTGGGAAATTCTCGCAGACATAAACCCCTATTACCATCTGTTTGCGGATGATGGTTTGAAAGGAAGCACTAAGAAATACTAGCGAGCCTAGGATTGGCTAATGTCTTACATTAAAGTCGCTAATTTTCAAAGAAAAAATCGATAAAATGGAATAAATGGATGGAAAGTAATCAGTAAACAATGACGAGTAGCAGGAAATGAGCAATTACGACCACTTGAAAAGGCATGAACGTATAAAGAATTCGGGACAAAGGCCTATACAATAACACCTGTAATTATTCTAATGCAGAAACATAGCTCAGGCAAAAACCTTGCTAACTAGGAAATGGAGGAAACAAAGGAACAGCTGGATGGTCTAAATTCACAACGCACCAACAACGTAAGACGTTTGAGCTGCTATCGTCAGTGAAAACTATAAGAGTCGTGAATGACAACACATTTATTAATCAAGTCTATACTTCTGCCCGTTTCCCAATTACCACAATGAAAACGGCCAGTGTGGATTCGAAATCGGTGAGTCATACGTCGGTATCAGAGTGTGCAACTCTCATTTCCCTAATGGATCACTCGAACATTACATGCAGCAATAGTGCACAATCGGAGACAAATGAAAAACCTTGAGTCTTGTCTTGAGCTTTTATGAGCACTCTTTATCTTTAGATGTCCAGAACTGCTTCATAGTGATGACATGGAATCATTAGCTCAGAATTTTCATTTCGGAGCTGTAGCCAAAATTTGGAGTAATTCCTTGGTCTTGGAGAGTCCAAAAATTTTTATTCATTCTTCTGCTCTGCAGCGACTTTATATAAGCCTTCTGGGAAATCCAACAACATATTCCATCCAAAACCAATTTTACAAATTAATTCCGAGTTCATGCGAATTCTGAAAGTGAATGTATACTCGTTTCTTGAAAAGAAAACTATGTGGATACATTCACACGGTTTTCCGCCCTCTTTTTGAATTATAGAGAAACACAGTCGCTTTCTCTTTTCGGTGTCCCAGCAACTACATGCCACGAGGGCAGTACTGTTGGCGCAAAGTCACTGTGGGAGTTGGTCAGACGCGCCGGGGCGGGGCCACAGGGCGTGCGACAGTCTTCGGGCGAACCGCCGCCGGAGGCATAGGTGTCTATGCCAATAAGCCGAGCACGTCATCACGTCGTCTACGACCAATGCTGACGTCTTCCACACTGGCAGCGTTTTGCTGCGCAGCCCTAAGTTCCCTGTGTGCTGCAGCGCCCGCCAGTGTAACGCAGACCTCAATCGTTCAGAACCCCGAGCACATGAACAACGGCACACTGTATTCCATTAGTGCGTTCTCACCGAAAGTCTTCGTCCGTACCGATGAATTCGAACTGAACTACAAGTCTTGTGTACAGTTCTCCTATAAGCTTATGGAGAGCAAAGTGCGGTGAGGTATACACTCATTGTCTCGTTCACCATGCACTTATCATGTTTTGGTTACATAGTTTACGAGGCCGTGAACAGTTACGCATACTTTTTCACGTAACTTGCTGTCTCATGGTCTCAAACAGTGCCAAATAATAATTGCACCAAATGTTCGCAAAAACCGCGAAAACGATCTCATAGATGCATATCGCTTCTGTACAGAATGAACTGGAAAATGACTCTTTTTTTCTACAAGTATAGACTTTATACAGATAGTTTTCCTTCAGTCCTATGACATACAACTTTGCAATAACCTGCAGTAATGGAATGCCTGCGAAACATCCTACATTATCAGTTCCCATAAGTGCGATAAGCCAAGCAATGATCTTTTGAAAGGGCCACTGCTCTTTTCGCCACTGACGAGGATTCACTGTTTCATCTTTTGGTGCTATGTTATACCAGTTACAACGAAACAAAACCACCAAGAATACTTCCCTCTTTGAAAGAAAGGTTGCTTTTAATCAGAAAAAATCCGTTAATGCCACATGGAAGGCAGTTTTCGCCCATGGTATCATAATGAATGCCTGACACGGAACATGAATGTGCATGCTCAGCTCTAACCACAAAAAAGAAGTGAGCAATATTGATTTCTGAAATTTCGATAGCTTCGAGAATTTTTCTGAGTACTAGCAATCACTACATTACACGTCAAATCTAATATGCATATGGTTCCTTAAAAATTGTTATAGTACCTTGTATTACGCAAAGCCAACGTCAACATAAACAATCTTTAGACTGCGTGCCTACACATGTCTGCTTTCCGAGGGTGGTTTCTGCACACTTGATAAGTTCGCCTATCCTAAAGATCGAGAAGGTTGCGCATATCTTCGCCCTTGGCTTTTCCCTCATGACAGGTAGGGGACCAAACAATAAGTGAATATCCAAAAAATCTACTTAAATAATGCGTATGGTATTATATGAATCGTTCGAAAACTTGGAAAGCTTCCCTTGTTTCCACAATTCATCACTATTTACACGTTGTAGGTACTCGTTCTACTTCGTGCTAGAACACCGTCCCCGAAAGTACCGTAGTGTCAGAAACAAACGTCATCGTCGGATCTCGAAGAGAAATAACCAATTATCGACCACTGCCTTCGGACATCTCGAACTCAACGGCATCGTTCCTTGTGAAAAAGTATGTGAGAAGACAGAAGCAAATAATCGCACTTCCTAGCTCCAATTTACAAGGTGACCTCTTTAGTGTTACGGTTTCCGAACATAAAATATTGATTCATGTGGTTACCCTTACTTAGGAATCTAGACGTTTCAGAATTTTTTGTTTAGCGCTTATATGAGCCGATGATATCACTCACTTGCCTCCAATTGCTCGCATTGCGTATAGAATTTTTCATGCCGTCGTGTATACACTTGTATTAAATGCACTTTGTAGGTGACCTAATTAGGCGAAAAAAGTTTATAGGTGACCTGGGTTTTGAATATTGTGCTTATCGTAAATTGTCGTTCATATGAGATGGTTATATGAAGTGCTTATTCATGAGAGCTTCCATCCTCGTTCTCCTCTGTAGTGTTTGCTTTTCATTGGAACGTAACGCTTCGCACCCGTTCAGATCGCCTATGACTAATCTGAACCATGTTGTGTTTCCTAGCTAACAGTACACGCATTGTTCACTTATGCATTCCATGCTATAATTCAGCGAGAACGATTATCCAAGAGAGTCGTAGTCACGCAGGAACAAATTCTAAACAAAACTTTGTATTGTTGGCGAATGTGCTCGTAGGGTACTCGAAACTCTTAAGCGGATCGCAACGGCGGCCGAGGAGAGCCATGAAATCTGGGTCCAAGGACCAACAGAGGAAAGAGTTCATGATAAGGATTGCAATCCATCTCCAAACTGAACCTTCGCAATGTCAATATGCGACTGAAACTACGCAGCGGAGTTCGAGCACCCCGCTCAAATACCGCGAGAACCGAGTACGTCGGCGTCGGCAACCAAACCAACAAACACAGTAAAACGCACATTCCTGAATTCCTTAAACTGCCAGACCATTGAGAGTTCCCTAGAATAATTATCTACTTAATGCCGACTTGTGCTACCCAGACCTATCCCGTTGATGGGTGGTTGTTGATGGTAGCGTTAGGTAAAAAGGCTAGCTGAGAGACACGTAGATCAAGGGCCTCCGTGGCGCAGTGTACAATGCGCGAGCCCCGGAAAGGGAAATCAAGGTTCGATCTAGCCCGGGGTCCAATTTTGCGAATATCTCAGCATCGTTATGGTTATATTTCACTAAAAACTCATTCGAAAAGTGCCATACATTTGCATACTTCATAAACCTCAGCTCAATGGGTTGCTTGGCCTAGCAACGAGGCCGAATGGAGATTTCCTTAATTCATCTTGATATTTATATAAACAGCGACTAATCTCGAATGCTTTCTGTAATTAAAACTGAGATTTAGTAGTGTTTATGGCAGGAAAGAAAATTTAATTAATTAGACAGCATTTCTTAATGAATACACCCAGCTAACAAAGATTAACTGAGTTGTGATTGAGCAACTACGTTTACTACATATTAAAATCTAAGCCGCTGAAATATTTCCCAAAAATTCTAGATTTCTAAATAAGTAGGAATTTGGGTGAGAAAAAGGATTAAGCTCTTGGCGTTGACCAACCCCTGAGGGACGCGACCTCATGCATCGCTGGAGGTGAATGAATGCATATCCGGGTCCTTACAACGACTCCTGTTGGCCTAGCGATGTATAAAGCCAATGTTGCTATCCTCCCAGAGAAATTTGGTACAAATTTACCGACCTCGGAGGAATAAAAGGTTTGGTGGACCTTGATGGAGGATCGATCCTATGTGTATTGCAGGACGCCCTCGACCACTGCGCTACACGCGTCCAAGAGTTTAGGAATTGTTCTTAATTATAATAGGTATCGATACGTAGTTACACCCAATTATAACCACGCGTTATTCAAACATTGAGTTTAGTAGGTGTGACACACTACTTTTTCCAACACGGACTTTCTATCAACCTCGATACTGGTCAAGGGCGCTCTATTTTCTTGATGATCGTAATGTCTATTTAATCAGCATAATGCCAGTAAAAAAAAATTGTATACCACAAATTCATAAGACAGATGACCTGATGATGGCTTCATACTTTAGGTCTTCATCGTAAGTCAAAATGAAGAAATCAAAGTATCAACAATTCTGGGCTAGGTATTGGATGTGTCTTAATTCTACTACGAACCCATCCGTATTACCAGTAGCGTTCGATTCACAAGTAAACTATTCGACTGTTGCTCTTTACTGAGTCACGTACTAATCGGTCCCATATGGCGCTGTTGAGATGCAGAACGCTTCCACACTATAACGAACAGGAAGCCGGAAACTGCTCAACTGACCGACACGGACAGGCTTTTACTTCTTAGAACTTCGCAAAGAAACCTTTGTATTCATTATAAGACGATAACCGTGCCTCAAAAAATTGGCTCGGCCAAAGAGCCAATCCTGGGACTTTTCCCACAGCAAAAATATTTTCGAACAACGAATTTCATCAATCTAAGAATGAATTCGGTCAAAAATTTATTTTCTTCATTTCTATACATGATTATTCGAAAATACTAAGCATATACGAGACAGAAACCATCCGGAACCGAACTATTTGACCCCTTTTCAAAAAATATGGCATATTATTATGAATTTGCAATTTTTAAATATAAAACTACAGCTTAGATTTACCCTCAAATTACTGCTACGTATATGCTTTTTTACTCATTTCTGAAAATTTTTCCTTAAGCAGTTCAAATTTAGGGGTGGGTAGTGCAGTGATGGTGATCCCGTTCATTATGACCAAATTTAACTCCATCCAGGCCCACGAAGCCTCCAATCTCTCCGGGGTCGAGAAATTGGTACCGGAACACCCTGGCAAGGCTATAGCAGAACTCTAGGGAGAATCGACTGAACCAGCATTCAATGACTTTCATAACAAAGATGGAACTCCTCATACAATAGCCGAATTCACACATATACAAAGTTCATTTGAAGGCTTTCGTGGATGATGGATGCGAGGAAGCGAATGCTAACGCAAGGAATGTCGGAATCCGTACGGTATGTATGAAAATAGGCTGCGTAAAATAACAAAAACAAATGAAATTAAATTCCCATCTTTCGATATTTAATGACCCAAGACTAGTCAGTTGAGCATTTACTTTCATCTCATCAATACTCATGAGATCGCTGTTAGCAAAGATGTTAGTGTTCAAGCAAAACTCCAGTAATGTCATGAATGCCGCATGTAACATAGAAGTCAACAATCAGCCGACGTGCATCAAATGAATACCTTGAGAATACTGATAAGAGAGAATAGAACAGAAAGCCAGTACGACACATAGGGCATAAAACCGCGTTCAAGGGAAAAATGTGACACAAAGAGTAACATCAATCCGCCGTAAAACGAACAACAACGGAACTGAAAACACTGCCAGCAGCACATGGATCTCCATAAATTAACGTCAATAAAAATATGGCATGCGATAACACATATCAAACACAGAACATCAAATGGGCTAGACATTTATTCCTTCGCAAACTGGGACAAATAAGTCAGCTGAGATGAATTCCACCTCAATTTCCACACCTCATTCCTAAGACTTTTCAAAAACTTGAGAAACAATGGGAAAAAATGAAGTTCAAAAATGAATCTTCTTCAACGAAAAGACATGACTATGCAACAATACTACCATAATATAAGGCAACAAATACTTTTTAACAACGTCCTATCTGTTCTCTCTGGATCTATCTGTTATCTTCGTATCTTTTTTACATGCAACTTTCCAGCCTTGGCCTACAAACCTACAACCATAGAAGCCTACGATTCCATTCCTGCGGACAGCTGTCTCAGTTGTTAATCAAGTGAGATTTTTAATATCTGCAAAATCCTAGTGTAAACTTTACATCATGCATAGTGTGTACATGCGCAATAATCGACTCATAGAAGCTTCGAAGTGTTTAGATAACCGTTTATACACATACATAGAATCTAAAACACCATTCAATAACATGAGTTCCTCTAATGGAAACTAGGCACGGCTCTATATTAAGACTTCACCCTAATCAAATATATATGAAGTAATCGGACAAATGCCGACAAATGCACCATTAGACTGTGATTGCTTAACGAATTACAGTTTTAAAGACCTCTGGAAGAGACAAAATGTGAGCAGAGATCACTAAAAGTACCACAGTAAATAAAGTGTCACGACAAGAAAACGACAAAGAACGCTTACATAGCATATAATTCTTCAGCGAGATTAAGGCAAATCGCCAATAAAGGAATTTTAAAAAGGTCACCTTTAGGTTATCTTTTTTGCATGAAAAGTAGTTATCCAGAAATCTAGCAAGGAGCTTTGCTAATATATAAAGATTTTTCTTTTGCGACTTCCCAAACCCACACCGGTTGAAATAACCACACTTTAATAACTCAGTCTTCACAGAGCAAAGAGTTGTTCGTCCACAGAAGAATTGATCCATCGCCTGCACTTATTGCGAGGCAGCCGTCCTTATAGTCAAAACGGCAGGGATCGCAATCGAAACGGAGTTCAGCTATTACCGAAGGACGAATTCCAACAGTAAACACCTTAAAACGAATAAGTGGCAAGTTTAGTCAAATAGGATCGAACACTACCCAAAAATACTTTCAATAGTGACTTTCATTTTACGTCCGCATAGACAATGAATATCTTTCATTAATTTTGGAAAAAGGTCCATCCACTTTGCAGTAGATGAACGCTTTGGAAACTCGACTCTTATGATAACTCTGAAGAACTCAATAGCGCCGGTACTTTACTCACACCAAAAATTAATAACAACCTCGCATTAGCTAAAAATAAGTAAAGATAGTGCTCAGAAACGTGGGTAAACGATTTTAGCTACTTCTACTCAGTCCATCATAAAATTTCTATAATAATAACATTAGGAAAATGCTGGCAAAAAGGCTTAGAAGAACAGTCAAGGGAACAGGAAGAAAGAAAATGTGTTGCATGTATGACCACGCTTGAAGAAAACGTTTATGTACATACATAATGCAAAGCTTACCGAGCCAGCAAAAAAACTATGGGTAAAAACTCAAAGTTTTGATAAACGGTAACAAATTAGGACGAGATAATAATCAGCTAGTTCTAAACTATGTAATGAGCATCAGTACAAGTAGTTACCGTTTTTAGTAAGAACAAGTTAAAACTAATAACTTGTAAAAAAAAGCCTCCTATAGGATGACGAACTTCACATTCTTCAATACAAAAATCCAAAGAACTTTGACACAAACCTTAAATGTTCTGTCGCGACTAATTTCGAGAATAGCGCCGCCTGAGTGTAGTACTTGACGAACACCGTCGGAGACCTGAACCCGAAATAAAGTTCAAAGAGGTCTTAGCCTGACAAGATTATTATATTATACAAAACCTGAAGTTGTGAGCACACATTTAATGTTAGTGGATCGAGCGTCGATACCAGTCCCTGATGAGTTCCACATATCAGCTGATTGTTGCGCAAACATATCGAGCGGACGTAGTCCATAGACCACTGCGACTCGTTAGTATTCCCCCAATCAATGAATCAAATAAATCAGTTCGATAAAAAACAAACCATTTCAAAGATAGGTTTGTTCGAATTTCGAATATCCACCACAACTATTCTTCTGTCCTCGCCACATGAATAGACAACATTATCCTTTAGAGCAAGATTCAACGATTTTCCCAACATGCCATCCATGTTTTGTCATTGAAAATGCAAACCTGCATGGCCAACGTAAGTACAGCACGCTTATGGTGGACATAGTTAAGAACAGGAGAGAGGCTGTTTCTTGTATCCATTACAAACACCTGAACGACAAAATCCAGTCACAAAACGGTACAACACTGACCGCACAGTTTAATTGGAGTTCTTTTCTGTCAGAGATAGTAAGTGCAAAAAAAGTATGATTGAAATCTGAGCAGAACCTTCTTCGCAAATGTAGAACATGCTGCAAGACCGTTCTGCGTGCTGCTTAAACACATACACGCTGATCCAAGCTTCGCACTTTCGATTGCCTGACAGAAAAAATAACAGCTTGAACACAAATTGTATAACAAGTACTATCCAGAACAAATTAATGACATTAATATAAGAGTAACTAAATCGTCCTAAGCAAAAACTTACTTTGACTTCACTGGGCGTTATCTGCCACATTTTCACAGTGCAATCCCAACTACATGACAGGAAGTGGTCTGGTGAGCAAGTTGACTGATCCAAGCACCATATCCAACCCTGTAATAGCCAGTGGTTAGCTCGACGAACAGTGAAATTTTGAAAGAAATATTTCGGCTGTTGAGAACCAGACAGACTGACTTCAAGTTGTAATAATATGCACCTCGTGGGCGTTTTGCAGATCAACACAGGCTTTCGTTGGCGCAGAGTTTTGGTGGCATTTCTTAATGAGTTTATTGGAAAATAAAGAAATAGAAAGCAGTGAAAAAACATGAACGTATTCAGAAACGCAAGACAACCTCGACTATGAATGGTTTCCTTGTAAGTTAAATACCTGCAAATCACCGATATTCCACAGTTTAATAGCCCTATCTCTTCCACCTGACAGACAAAACATATTGGGACGGCAACCATGAGAGAATAGTCGTATGGCATCTACCGTAGCAATATGTCCACTGACAATGAGACTAAAACACAATTGATACTTCGTACTTGTTACACGGACGGCCTGTTTTCAATGGTTGTGCGAGCCCCAGGTTTAACTACCCAAATGTGAGGTTTAACCCCAGTACCCGGAGAAAGACCGAGCGAAGGATTCGTCGCCCAAAACACGCCTCCCTCTCATACACATCGTTGTGAAGAATTGGACACGCCCTTGCAAGGTTACGTCAAAACACCAGGAAGGACCAAGTTCCACGACCAGCAATAGGCCAGCGTCAGTACTCCGCACACTGGGTGCTCCCGTCTATGACGTCAGGCGGTGCGACGAACGGTGAGAGGTCACAAAATCTCGGTTTACGCAGGACGTCACTGGAACCGGATCTGATGAACATTCGCACGAAACGCCATGGAGACTGTTCCTTACTATGCACATATAATGCCAGAACACTTTCCACAGACACCAATCTTCACGCCCTTCATGTAGCCACAAAGCGCATTACAAGAAACAAAAATCAAGAAGACCGACATACGCCAACAAAACAACGGGACCCTTGTGATCCATGAGGAAAAGGTCCCGTCACGAAATGTCGCTGGCGTAGGCTTTGTCGTCTACCCGTCCATTGTCCATCTCGTCGACTCATACATGAACCTTTCCCCTCGGATAGCCGTCCTCCGTCTTCAACTGTCGCATCATAAGAAGATCACTATCATCAACTGCTACTCACCAACCGACGCAGCTGATGAGTACGAATTAAATGCGTTCTACTATCAGTTCGAGGAAGTCATCCGCAATGATAAAGTATATCATAAATTTGTTGTCGGAGGTTTCAACGCCAGAAGAGGAAAGGCCAACGTGAGCGAATACAGGGTCGTAACTCGTATGAAGTGCTGAGATATCTGCAAAACTCCGGACCACAGGTGTATGCAGTGGGGAACGAACACGCGCTGCTGTCCTTAGCGGGGAGCAGCGCACTTCACCACTACACCATCCGGGTCTCCACAGGGTCGTAAATTTTGGATTAGGAGAAAGAAATGAGACTGGGAACTGTCTCGCAGGACACCTGTCAGCAGCACGTCTCTTCCATGGAAACTCGTTTTTCCAGAAGAAGGGCATCTGGACAGAGGAAGGACAGAAGCCGCCGCTGGACATGGGAGTCTCCCAACGGCATGACTCATGCAGAGATCGACCATATTCTGACAAACAAAAGATGGTGCCTGCTTGACATACCGGTAGCTCCTTCATTCTGTACTGGTTCCGATTACCGCCTTCTTCGAGCGAAGATTCGATTCAGCGGCAAGCTGGAAAAGAGCTCTCTTCATCGGCCACGAGAAAAAAGTCTAGCCGTATACAACGAGAACATTCTAAACGAAGTCCTGTCCAAACGTGACTGGCAGAGAAGAACCGACCGATAACTACGAGCCGCTTGTCGAAGGACTGAAAAGCTGTGCCGAATTCGTCTCAGTTCCTCAAGCAAAAAGATCGGATTGCATCTCCATCACCACTAAGGAATTCCTCGAAAAGAGAAGGGATCTGGAGCTTGATCCTACTGTAACACGTTTAACATGGCTAGTAATAAATGCCAGCCGCAAAAGAGCTTTGCAGGAAGATGTACAACGGTATAAGCAGAAGAAACTACCGGAAGTAGCAGAGAAAAGAAGCAGTTTGAAAAAATGCTGTCGGGACTTGTGTGATTATAATGTTTCGCCGTCAACCCTGATGAACGAAGATAGGATCGTCAAAAATTCCTGCGATGACATAGAATTAATAGCGGAAAAGTTCTACACCAACCTTTTCCGCTCCACAAGCCCTGTCCCGGGCAGTAATATCCCTGCTGGAGGAAAACCACCTAGAATTCTTTCGTCGGAGGTTCGAGTTGCGATAGAATGCATGAAAAGAGGCACAGCTCCAGAACCCGATAATATCACTGGGATTTTTGTATACGGTAATTGAGGTAAATTTGGGAGAATTTTATGTTTGGTTAACTGTGTTAGCTATTACGTTGGAATGTTTTGTTTTTTTTATTCAGAGTTATATTTTTTCTCGTTTGATTTATTTATATTTAAATGAGTGAGGTGTTAACTTAAGTATAAAGTGCTTTTCCTTTTTTCCTAAAGGATTTCCTTAGAGCTGGAGGCCACAATTTACACGGACTTCTCGCGGATCATATGAGAGGCTACCTTCAAAAGGAGAAAATCCTAGACCAGTGGAGGACGTCGCGCACGATTATCCTACCCAAAAAAGGAAACCGAAAGGATCTTCGTAACTATTGTCCGATGTGCTTGTTAAGGGTACTCTACAAGCTCTTCACGAAGATTATCCTCTCGCGCATATCAAGGACATTGGATGAGGCGAAACTAGCCGAGCAATCGGGATTTCGAAAAGGATTTTGCTGCATGGACCACATCCAAACCGTGTCCAGGGTCATTAAAGTTTGGCGGGAATACCACTTGCCTCTAGTCCTAACCTTTGTCGGCTATAAGAAAGCGTTTGACAGTGTCGAAACGAATGCAATCCTATCAGCGCTCGTCGACCAAGGAGTGGATCCGTCTTATATAAGGACTCTGTCCGACTGCTATCGGAACTGCACTACGAAAATGCAGCTTTTCCATCGACCTCTTACCATACCTATAGGAAAAGGGGTTCGACAGCGCGACACAACATCGCCAAAGCTGTTCAGTGCTGCACTGCAGTGGATAATGATGTCACGCGATTGGGATGAGAAAAGCATATGTATTGATGGAAAATTCCTATCAAACCTTCGTTTTGCCGACAACATTGTCATCTTCTCAAGAAGTACTAGCGAAGCAGAAGTGATGATCAACGAACTCAACGAAGCGGGGAAAAAGATCGGACTTCGCATAAATCGAAAGAAGACCCAGTTCATGAAAAACCTATGGTGCGAAAGTGAAAAAATTGAATTGGATGGCTCTCTCATTGCAGAGACCACCTCGTATGCTTACCTTGGACGATGAATGAACATGGAAAACAACATGAAGGAAGAACCAGATAGAAGAAAGAGAGCAGCTTGGGGAGCATTCGGGCCTCTCAAAGAAACCACCGACCAATTGAAAGACCCCAAAATCCGCGCTCATCTCTTCGATTCTACGGTCCTCCCAGCGCTCCGTTATGCTGTAGAGACGTGGGTTGATACTTTAACTACGCCAAGAATGCTTCGCACTACTCACAAAGCGCTTGAGCGAAGTCTCTTGAAATATAACCGGCACTCTCAATATGTAGCCAGAATGCGAAGCTTTGACCTACGAAATCTGTCACATCTTCGAGATCGAGGAGAATGTACATCGATAGCGGGTTATAGATGGGTCGGTCACATAATGAGAACTGACGAAAGATGGACGAAAAGAACAGTAGAGTGGACTCCAAGAGAATGCAAACGTCCCGTTGGACGACCTACACGTTCGGCGGACGTGTTAGTAAACAGAGTTAATCAGCTGTACCAGCAGTTGTAGTTTTTTACAGATCACGGTATGAGACTCGCAAGCGCTGCCATGCTCGAACAAGACCACCACTATTGACCACGATTGCGAGAGAAAGAAACGAATGGCATATGTGCTGGCGTCCGCACAGCTCGTGAAGATGGATTGTCCAAGCATCCAAGTAAGTAAATACACGGTCAGCACGTTTTTAATGATTGTGCGGACCCCAGCACAATCTCCATTTTTCGGAGTTTTGCTGGTTAAGCTATGGTGTCTCTCTGGAGTCCCGAAATCAGCCTGGCCAAAGTCTGGCCTGAGTCGTCACCGCCACAAGCAGTCGACGCCCTTGTGGATTTGAGAGATTTCCCACCATGCGACTAATTTGATACCAGGACGGTGGTGGATCCTGCTATTGGTTTACTTTTAGATGGGCTTCCTGATGAAAACGCCGGTCTCCTTCTCAACTTGGGAGACCCTGCCGTGGGGACAAATCCCACCGCTGTACATCGCAGCCCAACACCCAGGAACACCTGCCAGCCACGATGAGGCGGTAAACCGTTGGGAGAAACACAATTGAAGCAAGCAACAATGAAGAATTTGTATCATCCACAACACAAAAAGATGCTATTAAATCTAGGACAAACAATTAGGAACAAAGTGAATGAACTACAGCTCAAACCCACTTGTTGTTAGGTACCCAACTTTTCCAACGGTGCAATTCTTCTTCAATCATGACGAAACTTCGAGCAGCATCAAAGTGCTGGTCTCTCATTTCACACTCTAATAGACGAATATGCTGTGGCATCTTCTGGAAGCAAAAATGTTTCCTTGCATTCGAATGCTTCGAAGTGACCATCTAAGTCACTTGAGGTGAAATATGAGAAAATACTGGAAATTATGCATTTTCTTCCATGCACATGAAATCTTATGAAGTATATTTCAATATAGAAAAACGAAAGCGAGCTGAAACATACAAAAAACTCACCTGAATCCGGCTCAGCCACCAGTGCTGATTCGCTAAGAGGGAATGGAATTTCTTACACACTAAACGGACGTTGTAGACCAAATGTCGCCCTCGTATGTGACTGAAAATCAATAGTAGTAGCTCTGAGGGGAGCCACATAAGCATTCCTTCGTCTCTCTTGTGTACCTTTTCCATCAACTGAAACTTAGAAAGAGTTAGAAATTTTAGAATTGAAGAGAATAAACAATTAATTAGTATACAGATCTAAAAACAATAAAAGTAACGATAGTAAGACAAACGAACAACAGAACATGTAGTAAACAGCACATTATACATAACACAACAATAATGTACAATATATGTATTATACATTGTTGATATTGTACACTATGCGATATATGTGTATATACGTATCTATTTGTATACATATATATGTATATATATGTCCATATAAATGCATACACATGTACATGTGTACGTACACATACCAAAGGATTACCGCCTCATCGTGGTTGAGAGGTGTTCCTGGGTGTCCGAATGCGATGTACAGTGGGGGTATCCGCCGCTTCAGCAGCGTCTCCCAAGCTGAGAACGAGTCCCGTGTTTCCATCAGGAAGACCAGCTAAGAGTAAACCAGTACCGGGATCCACCACCGCCCTGGCATCAAGCCAGTCGCCTGGTGGCAAATCTCCCTGTCATCCACAAGGGCGGCCACCGTCTCTGGTGCTAACGATCTGTGGCGAACCTTGGTCTGGCTGACCTTAGGACTCCAGAGAACCACAACGGCTAAACCAGTAAATATCCGAATGGAAATTATGCGGAGCCCGCACAATGAGTGAGGACGGAACATCCGAGTATCCAAGTAGGAAGTACGGCTGATAGGAATGCAAACCAAAGGCCTCGCTTGGTGTGATGGACAACATGTGAAAACCCGCAATAATAATCATGGGTCAGAAGCCCAATTGAGATTCCCAGTTTTGCTCATATCTCAGCATCATAATGGTTGCATTTCACATAGTATCCTGCTATGAAAAAAGAACAGGCCGTAAATAAAAGTTAACACATTTGGACATAGAAATCAATAAAAACAAACTTGTTAATAGAAAGTTCAGAATACGTGGAGAACCACAACCAACATACACGCGAACTCTATTGCTTTTCTTCATAACTTTCTTTTCAAAATTCTTCTTCATAACAAGATTCTCAAGATGTCCTTACGATAAACTTCCTCATTTAATGATGAATTTCTATACCTAACTATTCCATGTCACGGTGACCAGGCAAGAAATAAAGCTCGCTACAGTTTGCATAAAAAAAAGGTTTGAAAACCCTGTTCTTATTTTCTAAGTTTCCAAACAAACATAAACTACCCGGACACTTTTATAGGACGAGTGCGTAATATGAGATAAAACAAAATTGACGCCTGAAGTACAGCCGAACCAGCCGAGCACGTCCAAACGCTTTTTGAATTGCAACAAATCAAACACGGTGAAATAATTTTTTATAAGAGTACGTAGTGTAATCATCCAAGACAAAATACAGTTAACAGCAATAATAAACAACAGAAACCCATTTCCACACTTCTCCGTATTACGTAAATGACGTCAAACGACTCTACTGTTAAGGTCATACTATGCGTAGTGGTTTAATTTAAACGCGTCAAGCTTTGTAACGTCAAACTTAGGAATCCATCTAATTCGAGATGAGTCGACCACACGTCTTCTTAACATGGACAACGGCAATTTGTAAGCCAACTTCTACAAAAGGCACATTAATTCTCCAAACAGAGCTAATGATTTACTCTGACCAACAGAAAATTAAAACGTTACTGAAACCGTTGCGAAAACCCACCCAAGTTTTTATAAAGTAATTCCCATCCTTCAGCAGCAGTAGATTACAACGCATAAGTTCATTGACGATATCCGTCGGATGAATGCGTGTATGAAGACTCATATTTTTTATCGACACACTTGAAGAATCTCTGATCGACCTTTATTAAAACCTCACATGAATTCTATAAAATGGATAAAAAAAACAACTGCACAGAATATTTTAACACTTAGGGACCGAAGTTGGCTTTTAGTAAACTGTTGAGAAATTTTCGACGAGTAGAATACCTGAGTTCAAACGCAGTCGCTTTGTAAAACGGACTTTCTGTACCCATTTAAGAGAAATCAAGTTTCTTTAAATCGATTATTTGATTTTCAAGGGTTATTTAGGATTAACATCTTTAAAAGAACTCAGACCGAAACTTAAATTTCCACAAGTCCAGAGGAAATTCCGGTAGCCATAAACAACAACGCATTTGCGGACAACAGTGTGGCCTAAGGAGCGAAATATCCCTTGTTCAACTACTTTCATTTTCAAAATAAGAGCTCTGACCAAGAGAAAAAACAAAAGTACGATTTTTGCGAAACATAAAATCAGGATTACATCTTGATAGAATGAAAAAAACTTCCGTATTACTGATGAAGACCTGCAGATTCCAATGCATTTTATTTCAACTAACAAATTTTACTTATAACTGAAATGCGCTGGTCTAAAGTTAAAAGTGGGCGTCATTTTTGCACCATGTGAGTGGCAATCAACTCACATCAGACCATAGAACTGTTAAGAAACATCGTACAAGCATTAATAATAGCTTGTTTGGAAATGAAATCCTTCGTAAACACACAAAAAAACCTCAGGTTAATCTAAGGTGCACATTTTCGCAACATACCTGAGGTAACACAAGATGCTTGATTTCCAATATTTTCTATAGGTGTATAAACCCAAATCCGACAGCGGGTGTTCTGGAGATCCTATTTTCCTCTCAATCTCTGATAGTTTATAACCTGTAAGAATGGCTTGCTAGTAGAATAGAAGGCTTATATTGTTAACAAAAGAAAACCTTGCCAATGTCAACAATGGACTTTGTAATAAACAGTAACGGTGAATTCGCGTCGAAATAGAAAACGAACTCATATCAATTAGTAGATGACCATAGCCATTGCGCTGTTCACTTGGAATGGTTAACAAACAAGACAGGTTGTTATTTCTGCTTGGATTCTTCTCCTTAAACTAACTACGTTTGATTGATTCTAAATTTTGGGCTCCTCATACACTCAATTTACGAACAGAACCCTTGGCGTGCTTTATGGGAGACAACTTACCTTTGAAAAGTAGCCAACAATACGACAACCATCATCATCGTTTTTCGTGAGAACATAGAAAAGAAATGTCCCAACTTCAATATGCAATGTCTTCGACGATATAAATAGCATAGCAAATAGACATAAATTACGACAATATGTCTGAATGTTAGAAATCAATGGTTTACTTTCTATAGGAAACACTTCATGGTATTCACTGCCATTCAAAGTACAAAGAGTTAAAGGAACATAGAGAATAGTGGATAGTGACATAATCCAAAAGAACTTACAAGCTCTTCAGCACCGTCTACTTCGAAAAACGAAAGTGTCTTAGACGAATCACGATATATCTCAACGCCCGGAGGAGTCACTCGAGGGCAACAATCCTAAACATAAATGGTAAAATGGATTAGCCGAAGACGGAATATTCATTGAGATATATAACCTGATGAACTAAGAAGGAACACTGATCACTGAATGGTTTAAGGCAATATGAACAAACGAAAAACAATGGTACACTTTTTATATGGTCCGGATATGGACTTTGATACAGAACCTGGAAAAAAACAATGTAGAGGATGCAATATTAGAACATCTGTGGTATACGAAGAACAAGAACAATATTAAAAGACCTGAACTAATATCACTATGAAAATCTACTAAGAAACCTTTATGTCGACGTCGCCACCGATATTCACCCATTGCTCTTCAAATTTTATTGTTGGTGTGCCCCTAAGGAACGGATCTACTTCTGCTAGTGTATTTAACGCCTTATCAAACCTAGAAACAAGTGAGTTCAAATGTGAATATGATCTGCTGGAAATGACTTCGAGAAAGGAAAATGCAATCGAACAATCACAGACGGAGCAACTGTAACATACATTTCTGAGCCTAATGCTGAGAAGCACTCCGTGACATTTCCAGCTGAGAATTGCTTTTTTCGGGGACTATGGCAAAACTGTTTAAAATTTTCATCCGTGATGAAGCGTTTGGGTTTCCCTTCACTGTCCTTTAGAAAAGGGCTGATATCTTCAACGACACTAAATATGGCAAACTTCGCTACTATTGTAGTGAAAAGTTTTCATTACCATTACACCAATCAAATGATCTGAAATCGAAAGATTTACAGATAACGCCCTAAATTATCGCAAATATACTTGGATACTTTAAACGACCTGCCTTCGCTGGTTGTGCGGACCCCACCACAATCTCCATTTCTCGTAGATTTGCTGGTTTAGCCATTGTGGGCACCGGATCTCCGAGGACAGCCTGGCCAAAGTCTGTCCTAGGTCGTCACCACCACAGCCAGTCGCAGCCCTTGTGGATCAGAGAAAAATTTGCCGCCATGCGACTAATTTGGTACCAGGACGGTGGCGGACCTTGTCGTTGGTTCGTGATGGAAACGCCGTCCTCCTCCTCAGCTTCAAGGTACCTACGCGGGGATGAATCTCTCCATTGTACATCACAGCCCGACACCCAAGAAAACCACCCAGCTACGATGAGGCGGTAAACCGTTGGGAGGTATCGCAAACATAGGCGAAGCAAACTGCTCCTCACCAGATGCTACCTTGAAGATGTTCAGATAAGCCGCATAGAGTAAATGAAAAGTAGAAAAATAAATATATAAGTGAATAAAAATGACCAAAAGAAAGGATAATGAAAAGGTTCGGAAAACGTGAACAAAAAAGCGGCTTGCTAAACATACGAGGCGCAGTTATACGGTGCAGTTGACGTGCTTGGAACAGCAAGTTGTTGTGGGCTCCTGCTCAGTGTTCTTTTCCTACGAGAGAGCTTCTCACAACCTTCACCATTAGAAAGTGGCGATGTGACCGGTAATGATAAAGATGGTTCAACCCACTTTGATGAGTGTAGAGCCATCTGACGAGTGTTATCACCCTCACTAAATAAATACCATACATCCCTATAGATTTCACTATCAGCTCCAAGAACAACTAACACATGTTTTGATGTTTCACCGAGAAATTCCTTGCCTTCGCTAGCTGCCCTACACTCACCCATTTATGGTTTCCTCAAGATTCACTTTTTTCGAACACATATTGCAAAACCATTTACGGTTTGAAAAAATGCCTGCTGATGGCTTGCAAGAGCCGTGCCACGCATGCAAACAGTGCCCACATTCAACGTTTGTTGGATCATCAATCATCAACTTGCATTTGGAACATCGAATGCACTGAAAAACCGGTACACATTACGGTATGGGCTTCATAAGAATCAAAGAAGTATCTCAACCTTTGGGCAAAGCCAATTCACTTGCTTCACCCGAGTTATCACAGCAGGAGAATATAGCATGCATTTCGACAAGTGATCTAAAAATGTGGAAAGTAACCATAGATGGAGTGTTGAACTTTGACCTATCATCTAGAGGGACCTTCACTTCAGTTATTCAAACAAGAACAATATTAAGCATCCACACTAAACAAACTAATTCGGAAAAAATCACGAACTTACACAATTTATGGCACTCAGTACAAGCACAGAGATCGTCCTTGGAACTCTTGCAGATTGTACACCTTGTTATATCACGCTGTTTTCTAAAGAAAAAGTCTAGAAACTGTGGTTTCCGAATGTAAGCATAAAAATAAAAAAAATTACGATTTCTGAAGCAGCCGCGTTTTTATGGGAGACGGCTTGCTTGGTGGACATCCATTTGGTGTAGAAGCCAACACACCATTCAAGATTTGTGGGATAGCTTCTTGTTGTTTACGTAGGCTACCATGGACTCTCTCTGCTGATCGAATAGACGGTTTATTCGACTGCAAGAAGAAGAACAACCATCACAAGGTATTTGAAGAGTTAATATGTCAAGCCTGTCAACGGTTTATCGCCTCATCGTGGCTGGGAGGTTTTCCTGGGTATTGGGCCACGATGTTCAGCGGGAGATTCATCCCCCAGGTCTTCCAAGCTGAGAAGGAGACCGCTGTTTCCATCAGGAAGCTTAATTAAAGGTAAACCAATACCAGGATCCACCACCGTCCTGTTATTCGCATGGTGGCATATCTCCCTCTGATCCACAACGGCTGCAACCGCCTGTGGTGATGAAGACCTGGGGCGGACTTTGGCCAGGCCGACTTCGGGATTCCAGGGAACCACAATGGCTTAATCAGCAAATCTTCGAAAAAATGGTGATTACGCTGGGACCGGCACAACCAAAGAGGAAGGGCCATCTAAGATCTAAGCATCCAAGTAAGTAATATGTTAATCAACTGTCGACAGAACTAACTTAAGGCTATGAATTGAAAGCCTGAATACCTTGATTGCATTTTGAGAACGGGATGCAGAATTACGAACATCTTTACCAAGGCAGGATTGCTTCTTGGCTGACTCTCTACTCCTTAAGGAGTATGTCGTTTCGTTCTGGTCTAACTGCGAGAAACGAAGTCGCGGCATACCCTCTGAACTGAACACTTGTCGATTAAAGCACACACCACTTGACACCACAACATGAGCCAGTTTCACACATCGAAGCAGAAAAAAGTACTGACAGCACGATGCATGTAAGCAAAACCTCTAAGAATCATAGGTTTCTTGAACAAGCACCCAGCGTCTTATGACTATGACAAGTGGTTTTTCCATTTAACGCCTTTGAAAGAATTTCAGGTCAACTCATAACTAAAGCAAGAATTCGAAGCAATGTGTCACCATCAATTACTACAACTTGTAGAACACGTCACTCTTCTAAACTAAAAACGGCAGCTGATGTTCGTTAACGACAAAAATCGCAAAACCCAGCCTTATGCGTGGAGTTCCATTCCAGGCGATCGCAGCTCGCATTGCAGTCGCGTCGCGTTCCAGAAAATGTCGCCCGGAGCGCGTCTATCACTGCTGCTGTGCTGCTCAGGGCGCGACCGAACAAAAACATTGGCGCCGATATGGCTGTGTGGCTGTATTTTTTTCCTGTTGCATTTTCTTATAGCATATTCTGAGACACCTTTACTAAATCAATAGTTTCCCCACCACAAATGTTGTATCGGGCACGATTCCCTGCCTATCGTGCAGTCCAAGTCTCACATGGCACCCAAGAAAAACCAGTCGTCGTTGCGAACATGAGAATTAAAGCTATGTAGCTGTTACTTTTAACCACTTCAGTGGTTACACAACTCTGTTAGGGCGAAATAAAAAGAATAAAGGATGAAAAGGATAAAGCTACCGGTGTTGATCAATCCCTGAAGGATCCGTCATGTCTTCACTGAGCATTGCTAGAGGTGATTGAATGCACATCTGACCTTTACAATGACTCGCGGTGGCCTACCGATGTATCGAGCCACCAGACAAGTCCGATACCAATTTGTCGACTCCGAAGGAATGGAGTACGTGCTTGGTGAGCCTGGGGCGCTGGGTCGATCCCATCTGTATTGCAGGGCGCCTTCGACCACTGCGCTACATGCGCACTTTTAACCGTTCCTTGAAATGTAAGAGGAATATTCTAGAAAAACACGCAACGTAGCAATGCTGTGCTCGCTAATGAGGAGGAGAGTTGTTGTGGCAATCCTGTGCTGGTCTACACTTCAGACTTTCAATGTGTTGATTGATTTGATTGATTGGCGGCATTAAAAGCATTTAACTTCATCAAAATTCGCGTAAGTTATGCTCTCACTATGCTACACACACTATGTGCATTAGGACGCGTCTAGCGCAGTGGTTAAAGGTGCCCTCCGTTACATTCATTGTCTTCGATTCGTTTTCGCGGACTCACCAAACTTAGCAAGCATCTGGAGTCAGTAAATCGGTGCCGGAGTTGTCTGGGAGGATAGTAGCACTGAACTGATGCGTCGGCAGGTCTCCATAAATCACTGTATACGTCAGGTATGCATCCAATCATGCGTAACATTTTAGGCTATCTAGCTTCTGCTGCTCAGAACAGCTGAAGGCTGACAGTTTAATCGAACGTCAAGCTTTTTGATTGCTTTCGATAATTTTTCGGTAACTACGGTATTTGCTTTATTGTCCTAGGGATATACGTTTTCCTAACATTTCATGTTCATTGTAAATTGCTTTGCAACTATAATAACTATTCTCGGAGAATAGACAAAAGAAAATAGAACAAGCAGAGTTGACCATGGAACACAACCGAAACAACAACCAGACAGCACTCGATGCCCACGCTCTGGTGACAGACCAACTCCAGCAAGATCCCAACACTTCAGCAAAAGATGAACCACAATGCTGTACCAAAATTAATGTAGAGAAAACAGTGGAGTAGTTGACGATGCACAGCGTATAGCCACCTCTATAAGCTCACCGACCTGTAAAAAACGTCGGAAGACTCGAAGATTGACTTCTTAAATGACGTCAGCGCCGCCCCTCCTATGACCAGTCTACCAGCTATCTCAATTCCGAAGTTCACCGGAGATTTAGGGGAGTGGGAAGCATTTTGAGGAGCACTCAATTAATGCGTACTTGCACCGAATCGTCGATTTTCAAAAAATTACCTATTTGTTGGATGCCTTTCAGGGAAGCGAAAGAATGCTTCAAATGATACCAGTTGTCCTACAGAACTTATCGAATAGGGATAGAGCACCTAAAAGAAAAAGAGGACAATAAGGAACCCTTCGTTCGTCACTTTTTAAGCAGCCCACGTCTGAAGTCGACATTGTCAGAACCTCATATAACGGCAGCTGAGCACAAAACGGCACTTAAAGTACTAGTCCGTCATCATCAAAACGTTCACTATATAAACCGTATTCTATTCCTAGGTAATCTGCCATATCATTCTTGTACGCAACAGTTTACTCCAACCATTCAACTTTGCTGTATTTTATTTCTAACTACTACATAGCATTCATATAACTACGATGGAGTTAATGCGGAAGCAGTCCAGGAGTGAGGGCCTCCAACGCTGTAGCCGACGCACGTTTTCGCACAACTGGCAGCAGAAAACCTCCCCCAAAAAGTGACGTACTTTCCCATTTCTTTCGACTTCCGGTGCACATTCTTTACCTCATCGTAAGCTTTGCTCTCTATCGTAAAATCATTTTTATTCATTTAGCCTCCAATCATTTTATAAAATACACAAGCACTCATTTTAAATCCAATTCCATATAACAGAAGGCAGTTGCTAAACTGAAAAATATGCATAGTGCCAATCTTAAGTTGCGGCGAGGAGCATAATAGCTATTCCCTGAGTAGTTCCTGTTCTCTACATTACCGTATGGCACGTTTGGAGAAGTGGTCGGAGGCTATCGAAGGCCAAATATGCACTCATTCACCTCTAAACAACGCTTAATGAAGTCGAATGCATGGCGAATCCCTCAGGGATTGATCAGAGCCGAGAGCTTTGTCCTTTTATCTTTACTGTATGTTCCCTGCAACTAACTTTGTTTACTGATAATCATATTGCTTCTTGCAGCGCTTAGTCATCTTAACAAGCGAACGTGCACTTCCCTTGCACTACTGGTATCCTCTTCCGGGCATGCACTTTTCTTTCACTGCTTAGTCGCCTTCAAAGAACAAAGCTCTGTCACCCCTCTCAAAACTATCTCTTCAACTACTTTACCGAAAGGCTCTCTACCAGTTCTATCTGCCAGGCTCCTCATGGTCTCCTTTTTGGTACTATTAATTGTATCGTTCACCCTTCTGTATATCGTCACATTGTTAATATTGTATTACCATTATTTCTATATACGATTATAACCCTAGCTTGAGACTGTGCTCTACGGCAACGTCAAAAAGTCCCGCGTTGCATAACCGTACGAAGTCGAGCATTCTACTCCGATCTAGTAATAATTCGGCGCCGAAGGCTAACTAAAAGACCAATATTCTACTAACGAACTAATACAACAACTAAAAGTTTCGAGAAATTAGGAGAGATGTGAACTATGAAGAGATCTTGAACGTTCGACCAGCGTCGCTGTTTGTGGTGAAGCCACGATGGTAATGAGCAAAAGAAAGAGGTTTAATGTGCTCCAAAAAATCGGAATTTCTTTATGGTAGAATAATTAGACTTTTATGTTATTGGCAAAAATGTGTAATGGCAAAGCATAGAAGAGACGAACTATCCTTTTGGTGAGAATTTCTCGATCCTATTGATATTGATTTTTTAAATCTATGGGGTTCAATCAATATGAAATCTGGGGTGCTTGTTTAGCACATTTGCCATGCTTCTCATTGATATCAATGCGTAGTGTGAACATAATGACTGCTTTCAAGTCTAGACCAATTTTAGCTCATATCTGTCTTTATTAATTGAAATAAAGCGGTAAAATCTGCACATCTTTTCTTAACCATAAACAAGGTAAAGGCGGGCGTGGCGCAGTGGTCGGAGGCGCCCTTCAACGCTCACACGGGATCGCACCTCACGCCCATGACCCACCAAACTTTCCATCCCTCCGGGGTCGGCAAATTGATACCAGACTTGTCTG